CTGGTTCTCTACATCCAGAGCGCTGGAATTACCCGCATTCAACAATACCATGTTCAATGTTTAATGTGGTGATGGGAGTCGAATAGGGTGTTGTACAGACACTCTACCCACTGGGCTATGTCCGTAGCCATAGTGTGTGTGCTCGCATGTGTATGGGAAGGTTGACTTCAGACATTTTCCTTAGTCACTCTTCATCTTATTTTGGGTGCCATGGTTTCTCTTTGAACCCGAAACTTGCTGTTTTGGCTAGATTGGCAGGGAAAGACCTAGGATCCACCAGCATCCACTCCTCTAGTGCTGGAGTTACAGGGGCATGCTGTCACGCCTAGCTTTTATGTGGATGCTGTGTATCTAAACTTAGGTCCTCATGGTTTTGCAGCAGACACTACCCACTGAGCTTATCTCACCAGCCCTTATACCAATCTGTTTGATATAGGATTTCATAGTCTGTCCTGGCTGGTGTGGAACTTACTCTGTAGCCCAGACTGGCCTAGAAACTCAGTAATGCTCCTGCCTCAGTCTCCTCCATGTTAGGACTAGATATCTGAGCCACCATACCAACTTGTATTGCCTGTTTTTGTCACTGGCCTTAGACAGTTGTGGAATGGTGAATGGGAGGTGTAGGGCGGTACCTGCAAGTGGGGTTTAGATGCTTCGGGCTAATCAGAAACCAGGGCGTGGTGAAAAGTGCGGGACAGATGGTATGGGAGTTAGAGAACAGCTGGATACAACCAGACAAATGGGCATCGAAGTGGAGCAAGCCCAGAATGATTGTCCACGCCTGTAATATCAGCACTCAGGGCTGGAGGCAAATGGGTTGGAAATCTCCCTAGGCTGTGAGACCCTGTCTTAAATATACGTGAAACGTAAAATTGAAGCACGGGCTTGATTGGCAATGTCACTGAGCAGTAGAACATGAGCTTAGGATGTGAGAAGTCCTGGGTTCAGGTTCATTCCTCAGCTCTTAAGTACAGCAAGCTACCAAGGGTTTAATAGAAAGCATGAAAGGCTGGAAGGGTCAGGGAGGGCTGGAAAGAATGAGTGTGACTGTAAAACAGGAAAGGAAGAGTCCTGAGAAGCAGACACCCCTCATCTCTACTGTCAAGGCTAATGTCCTGCTGTGTGCTCACCACTGGTGGGAAAACAGAGTGAATGCTATATAAAGGTTTTATTGTTTCAGATAATAAAAGGCTGGACAGATAGTTTCGTGTTTGAAAGCATGTGCTGCTCTTGAAGAGGACCTGATTTTGGTTTCCGGCACCCACATCGCATGGCTCTAATCACCTCTAACTCGAGCGGATCAGATGCCCCTGCCCTCTGTAGATTTCTGCACTGAAGTGCACATACCCCCCTCCACCCATAGACACATTAAAAAAAAATATTTTCAGAGCTGGGCGGTGGTGGCTCACGCCTAGCACTCAGGAGGCAGAGGCAGGTGAATCTCTGTGAGTTCGAGGCCAGTCTGGTCTGCAAGAACTAGTTCCAGGACAGGCTCCAAAGCTACAGAGAAACCCTGTCACGAAAAACTAAAAAAAAAAAAAACCTTAAAAAAAATTCAAAAGTCACCTGTGAATCATCTAAAAAGCTTAATACAGGGGCTGGAGAGACGGCTCAGAGGTTAAGATGACTGCTCTTCCAGAGGTCTTGAGTTCAATTCCCAGCAACCACATGATGCCCTCTTCTGGCATGCAAGCATACATGGAAGGAATGTTGTATACATAATAAATAAATAAAAATCTTTTAAAAAAAAGTTTAATACAAAACAATAGGAAGAGTAGGTACCAACAGGCAGTGGTGATGTACCCTTCAATCCCAGCACATCCTGAGTGCCAGGATGGCTAGGGCTACACAGAGAAACTGTTTCAAAAACAAAAAGGATAGATACCAAAGATGCTGTTAAGAAAAGTTATAGAGGGGGCTGGAGAGATGGCTCAGAGGTTAAGAGCACTGCCTGCTCTTCCAAAGGTCCTGAGTTCAATTCCCAGCAACCACATGGTGGCTCACAACCATCTGTAGTGAGGTCTGGTGCCCTCTTCTGGCCTTCAGGCATACATGCAGACTGAATGTTGTATACATAATAAATAAGTATTTTAAAAAAAAAAAAAAAAAAAAAAAAAAGAAAAGTTATAGACTTACACAGAGAAACCGTGTCTTGAAAACCAAAAAAGAAAGGAAGAAAAGCTATAGACTGGAAAGGGGAGATGGTTCAGAGGATAACTAAGGGTGCTTGCAGGCAAGCCTGATGCCCTAAATTGAATCCACATGATGGAATAAAAGAATTCCTTCAAGTTGTCCTCTGACCTCTACACATGTGCCATGCTACAGCCTCCCACACCAACACGTGCTCCCAAACACACGTGCAATTATATATATATAATATATTATATATAATATATATTATATATATATAAAGCGAGGTGGTGGAGGTGGCGCATGCCTTTAATCCCAGTACTCAGGAGAGAGAGGCTCTAAGTGAGTTCGAGGCTGGCCTGCCTACGGAGCAAATGTATTTTTTGAAGACTATAATCTGAGGCTCTAGTTCCTACCTTCCACTCTGAGGCCGGTTCTGTGGCTGCAGTCCATCTGCACTCATGGGAGCTCCAGGGTGGACAGCTCACCACTGTTGACACCAGCTTCACCACTGGACGCCATCTTCTGGCCTTCCCGACACCAGGCAGGCACATGGTGTGTATACATACACATAAATAAATCTTTAAAAAAATATATATGAATAAAAGCTGGGCTGGCAAGATGGCTCAGCGGGTAAAGTTTGCCACACGAACCTGACAACCTGAGTTCTCTTTCCAGAACCCATATAAAGGTGAAAAGAGAACAGATTTCACAAAGTTGTACTCTGACTTTATACACAAGCACATTTGTACAAGGAAGCCTCCCATACATCACAGACATAATAAAATTTTTAACAAAAGAAAAATAGCTGATAACAAAAGTCACGATTTCTATTTGGCTTTTCTCTTTATGTTTGTGAGTCTCACTGTGTAGCCGTTAGTAATCTAGAACTTGTGTAGACCAGGCTGGCATCTGTCTTGTAAAGGTAGAGATCCACCTGCCTCTGCCTCCTGGGTGCTGGGATTAATCGTGTGCACCATGCTCCCTGCCTGTACTTGGTTCCTCTTACTCTTGAGGAGAGCTACAAAACAAACTTCACCCTGGCCGCTGCTACCTAGGCTAGGGAACCCACAAGGGAGCTGGGGCCGGGACTGCTCAGGACAGAGAACTGATGCTGGAGAGTAAAAAGTCCCTCTGTGGCTCAGTGCTGGTGACAGCCCGGCTACCAACCGAGTAAATGAATGCCTTCCTCCTGCAAATTCAGTTTGATGCTTGCATTTCAGGGCACACAGGGCCTGCGGATGGAGTGCTCCTTTTTCTACTGGTCATCCCCCATTTGTCCGGCAGAACAGAGATTAAAAATCCAAGGAAAATAGGGAAGCTTTGGCAAAAATTAGCAAGGACGGTCACTTTTTGGCCCAGTTTTGTTTGTTTTGAGACGGGGTGTCATGAAGCCAAGCCTAGTCTGAAACTGTAGGATTACCTTGAACTCTCTGATCCTCCTTGTGATCCTTCCACGTGCTCGGATTATGGATTTAAATCCATGCTTTCTCAACCAGGACATAAAAGCCCGAAGTTAAGTCGAGGCTTTTGGGTTTGACATCAAGGGAAATGCTGGAAACAGGTCTCCAAATCTGCATAGAACAGACTCAGTGGTGAGGGGCGAGAGGCCGCGATTTAGGGGCTCTGAAGGGCATCAGGATGTTGGCGCCACTTTCTGTCTCGCGGTGGCTCTGCGCCCCGCACTGCAGCTACATCGCGTACCAGGAGTGCACGCGCAGCAGGGATGTTGCCTTCAGTGACTTTAATTCCTTCAGAATCCTTATCTCAGTTACACAACCTGCGTTTCAAACTCCCGTAGACGGAAAACAGAAGTGACTCGAGGAGACCCTTAGCACCTCATGACCTTCAGGAGCGTGGGGCTGTGGAGGCGCGCGCCGGGGTTGCCCGCCTCTCCTGGGGCCGCAGGAGCTGCCCAGCCCCTGACAACCGCCAAAGAGATCCTGTTGCTAGGGGCGTTGCGAAGGAGGGGTCACGAGGAGGGGCTCCCTTCCGGGAGGAGGGCGATTAATAACCCGGAAGCGGTCGGTAGTGCGGCGCTGTTTAAAGATGGCGGCGGAGGAACCTCAGCAGCAGAAGCAGGAGCCGCTGGGCAGCGACTCCGAAGGTACGGGCCAGGGGAAGGATGTTCTGCCCGGGCTTACGGGGGCGAGGCTCGGTCGGCCGTTCCCGAGGAGCTCCGGAAGGCAGGGCTGCCGGGGACCCGGCGCAGCATGCCACGGAGCCCTTGGGCGCTTCTCCTCCCCTCCCCCTCACAATGGAAGCAGGGCCGCGGCGACCCCCG